GGGATAATTATAAACAAGGATTACCCTATATAAAACCAAGAGGCCCGATTATAAAAAGGATAACATAAAAGTCCCCAAATAAGATAATAGATAAATATAAAGATTATAAGCTTGCATTTCTTTTGTCCTTTGTTCTCGGTTCATATGGCACCTCCCCATCCCCCCAAGTTGAAAGGGTTTCCCAGTTTGCTTGGGGTATTGAATGTGCAGGGTTCTAATTATAGCATTACAGCCAAATTTGAATTTCGACAAATATGGACTTACTTCCTTTCATTCAGATTTAATGAATCCAATTTCTTCTCGGTGGTGATTTAGTATTAGGACACTTTCGTATTCTCATTTAGCATAAATGATCGGATCGGGTGCCTGAGTGGAAAAGTGCGTCAAAATGGTGAGGGCCAAGGTTTCGAATAGCAAATCATGGCCATGTATTCGGATCGCGTGGCAGAGTTCGATCGTGAATCAAAATGGCGTGCCACGGTTTCAGATCGCAGATTGTGGCCCAAGCATGCAAGCGCCGCGACAAAGCGACTAGTCACATCCGACAGAAGTACACCTTTAAAAAGCGACTTTTGGCTCAATGAAGCACAACACTCGCTCGTAGCTATAAATTGAGACCTCTCCCCATAATATCAAGTGATAATAATCAAGTCCCAGATCATTCATCTACACTGGAATTAAATGCTACACCATGCAAACATCAGACTCAAAGCGTGTCAAGAAGCCATGGACTGTGCACAGTAGCCTCGTGCAGATGCGTTATCGACGGAAAGGCACGCTGCAGCGTATGCTGCGTAGCTATTTCAATGACTGTCGCTGCAAAGGCGTCTACCTCCTCATCCATGAAGACAATCGGTACTTTACAATTAATTTTAACAAGTCTGATGCTTCGAACAGCCACTTTCCACCACCAGACAGAGATATAGTAAGTGCCATGCGTACAGCCCTGGAAAGACGTAGCTCTTACAGAAACAGGAGAAGCATTATCCACCTCCATCTCGAACAACGTGCGAGAACTACATGAAATATCAGAAGTCTAGAGCAGGGAAGAAGGGAAAGCAAGAGAAACTTGAGGAGAAGCAAGAATAGAATGTTGTAAATTAGGGTTAATTTGAAATCATCACTAAGCTCTTTTTGGAAAGTATACCTAGTCGAAGTTTTATTGGCTGCTTTCACAAGTATGTGTCATGATGGAGCCGCCGAATCTACATTATAAATTTACACTCTCAAAGTCATAGCGCTTGCTGAACCCTGAAATCATGACTTCTTTCAAGAACCAATAAGATTTCAAGTATTCTGGTCTTTCACCTCAAGGATTGTCAATATCAGTGGCCTTTCACTTAAAAAATATGACTTTCCCCATGGGCATTGTTTCTGTGGCCTTTCCACTCAGCATCGTGTCATCCCCTGATGGGTGTTGGCTCCCTATGTACTTTTAATTTTGTGGCCTTTTCCACTGAGATTATGGCCCTCCTCAAGGGATTTTACTATGGTGGCTAATAGTTCAAAACTGTGGCATTCCCTAAGGATGTTGACACCACATGGGATTCTATTTTTGTTGCCTTTTCACTCAGAATTCCGGCACTCCTCAAGGAGCTTACTTCCCCAAAGGGCTCACTTCCCCAAGGATTCCGACTCCACATGGGACTCACTTCCTCAAGGAGCTCACCTCCTCAGGGATGCTGACACCGCATGGGATTCTATCTTTGTTGCCTGTTCACTCAAAATTCTGACACTCCCCCAAGGGGCTTACTTCCCTAGGGATGCTGACACCGCATGGGATTTCAGTTTTTGTTGCCTTTTCACTCAGAATTCCGGCGCTCCTCAAGGAGCTTACTTCCCCAGGGATGCCGACACCATATGGGATTCCATCATTACTGCCTTTTCATGCAAGATTGTGACACTCCCTGAGGGTTCGCCTTCATCGGCATTCTTGCAAATTCCCTAGCTGCCATAGGGGAAGTATAGTTTTGGTCGTGGGCCACACTTCACTGACTCCCGGGGGTGAACCATATTAGGGCGTTCCCGGCAGATGGGCGACATGGCAACAGGTCGACAATGCAAGAGAAGGCACATGAATAAATGACTGTGTATTATAATATCAAATAAAGAAATGAGTGGTTTGAGATCCCATCTTCCATCACTTGCGTGTTGATGGTCGAGGGCGTAATGTGCTCAGACGTTCTTTCGCTGCATCTCCTTCAACCGTCCTCTTTTGTTTCTCCTCCTGCTTCCGCAGCCGGAGCCTCGCATTTCAGGGAGGCAGTTGTCTGGGAGATATGTTTCCACCACATAAAGCACACGGTGAACATATTTATTATTTCGCCATACTTTATCTCCAACATGACAAATCTTAAGGCTCTTTTCAACGTGCTGCGCCTCATACCAATAGGGAAGATTCTTCAATTCATCATGGGCCAACGGTTCTGTCGTAGCCCCAGAATCCGAGATATTGTCTCTGCCGTCGGGTTCGATACCACCAGGAGGCTGAGGCCGGTTATTTGAGGCCCTGTCAACAGACAGCCGCTCGGGCGGGACGTTAAGGGGAGCTGCAGTCTTAGATGAGAAATCGAGGTCGAAGGACAGAGATAGGGTGTCATTAAACCCTTACCTGAGGCATAGGTTTGGAAGGGCGTCTTCTCGAGAAAGTCACCCAACACCGCGCAATAAGCTGGAAGAGTGGATTGCTGCGCACCGGACGACAAAAGTTGACTGGGTAGTGGTGGAGGGCCCTCGGTTCCTTGTCTATCCATGCTGAGGATGTGCAGAGATGCAGAGGAGGAAGTGAATACTTGAAGCAAGACGGGCGACTATTTGAAGCAGGTAAAAGATTTGGAGAAGGGCGAAGGCTGAATTCAAATGAGAGGGGAAGAGCCTTTTATAGCCCTTTATACCTCAACCTCATGTTGGTTGGACTGGCTGCACTGTCTGTCAGCAATCCCTTCCACCTGGTCCTTACTTCCTGGAGGGAACGCCAGGGCGGGCTGACCCGATACCCATCTCGCTACGCCCTCTCGCAAAAAGAGCACAGGGGTGAAGTCAGGGATGCTTCTGCACTGGTTCACGCGCAGATGATTGGCTGCGGGTGTAGTTCCGTCTTTCCATTACATGCCAGCCCCATGTCCCACGCTTATCGACTGGAGGAGAGGATCGAACAGTTTGCCGGTTGAACTTCCTGGCGTATCAGGAGGGTTGGGGAAAGGTTTGACTGGTATGAATGCTGATTCAATGCGGGGGAATCCCTTTCAACTGGTCGATGTTGGCTGGATGAGAGCCCAAGTTTGCTTGATCTGACGCCCACCTTGCTGCGCCCTTTGGAGAAACCGGAATGAATGATAGGGCCAGAGGATGAGCTGCATTTTGCATTTTCCTTCAATTTGCTTTCGCGTATAAAGCCCCTATTGGATTGCCAAACCGCACTCGTGGGGGTGTGTATCACAAAATTATAAGCCTCGATGCAGGTCGCGCCTCGGATATTGCTTCATGTTGGTGTTTTCGCTTAGAGTCGAGACATCCATGAGCTCGAGCACAGAGGCGAAGCCAGGCGCACTTTTTGACTGGCACACATGGTTGGGTGAAGTTCGGCCGTCCTCAGGCATGCCACCCCCGTGCTCCTTGTCCCCGGGTTTAGCGGTTTGTCGATTCGACTTCCTGGCGCATGGCCAGGGGGAAAAGGGGGGGCTGAATAGGTTGACTGGCTGATATTCACTCGACGAGAGCCCATGTTGGCATGGGGGTGGTGGCCAGGAGCACTTCTGCGTTGGTCCACCCATCAATGCAACATTCCCCGGTTCGGCGGCTTCTTCGGTGTGGATGATTGGCGATCCACACAAGACGCATCTCAGCTACTATTTTTCCTACCCTCCTCAATTAGCCTCGACCTATTTTTGTTCGCAGGCGGGGGTTGAACGTGGGACATATATAAAGACGTCAAGGGCCTCCTGGATCGAGATCGAGGGGAGAAAAGCATCCCATCATCTCGTCTCGCAACATGGCTACCTTCACGTACAATATCACCTCCCCTGGACCTGCCGACGGTTCTCCCTCGCCTCAGCTGCACACAGTGCGCCTCCTGGAAGCGTACACTCCTGATCCTTGGTCAGACGAAGAGCCCCAGCACCTCCTTCCAATGCCCATACCCATGCCCGTGCCCCTCTTCTCTGCGTCCGGCGACCTCTCTAAGGATGCAGCAAGTGAGGTATTTGCTGATTTTTCTGCCCTGCCATCCACCGTCTCTGGTCTCGATGAGATTAACTGGAACGAATGGATCCTGTTCGACTCGTCCCCCGTCGATGCTACCCCACCATCACTCCAACTGTCGGATATTTCCGACGACCCCATCGAGGAGGCTCACCCAAGCCAAAGTGACGTTGCCGATGACCCACCCAATCGACGAGAGCCAACCCCTCCCCTGGCCTCAGACAATCGCGAAGGCAACACATTGAAGGAGCCGTTGAATTACTCCGATAGTTCCATCGAGGCTGACCCACGCCCGGGCGAGGAGCTCTATGTCCAAGTCCACCGATCAGAGCAGATTATCCCCCTGGTGTCCGGCCGTTGGGAAGGCGATGCGTTGGGGGAGACGCTGGATAATCTGGAATACATTATTTTGCCCCTTTCTCAGGTGAAGATTCTGAAGCTGGTGTATAAGCGAGACGGGGATGAGATGTACCAGATAGTAGGATGGATAGATTTACAAGAAACACGCGGATATGGCACACAAGGAAAGTGGTGGAAGTGCTTGGTTTCTGCTGGTAAGCCTCAGTACCTGCTCTGTGAAAAACATTTCTCACACCTCACTCACTCTCGCAGAAGACCCAATCATCATCGATGAGCCAATGAGTCCCAACCTGCCTAATGACTCTGATCAGTTTGTCGCCATTCCATCCCTTCAACGAAATATAGGGCGAGTTCCGGGGGGTTACGAGGTGTATGCCAAGATGACATTGGACGATTTGCAGGAGCATGGAGGGTTGGAACTGTTGGCAGCTTACTGGAATAACGAATGTCGTCGAACGAGGTCACGTGGATTATGTCAGCATTGATTCAAGGTGGCCCAATTTCACGAAACCTTTCTATTTCTAGTTAGTTAGCTGCTTGGATTTGTGTAACAATTGCAGTCTTCATTCACTTCATTTTCTTCATTCTCCTCTTTCATTTTTTATGTTTGGTTTCTTCACTTTGTTTTACTTTACTATTTCTTCTTCATTATATTCTATCCTGGCCAGCACACACATTTCCAGAACTTGGAAATTCCACTTCAGATACTATTGCCTCAAAGAGAACGCCCAGACCTCTCTCCCTCCTGATGCTCACGAACCCGCTTGAAGAACATACTTTGACCTCAGCGATGTCGAACGCGAATCATGGCATGCAAAAGCATTCTACCTTTCTACTGCTGAGACGGCCGTCAGCCGTCTGGAGCGATCAAGGAAATTTGGATTGGATGCAGATTAAGAGCTGTGAAATAAATTTATAACTAGCTTTCATTCACCCCGTCAATACGTCATACAGGTCAACTGCAGAAGAAACTAAGAAAGAAAAAGTGGCAAAATGTTCAATTTATCAGACTCATCTCATATTTATCACCGCCACTAATATTGTAGCTTCGCTCCCATGATCCATACTCTCTTTTTCCAACATTCTTCTCCCGGAACCATTGGTCTTTTCAGTGTGCAAAGTAAATGCTCATACCTCCTCTTGTTCTCCTTGCTGTCACACAGGAAATATGGTCCAGCAGTTCAGGAACATCGCACCCAACTCTTGAGGACCATGGTTTCTGTGGATTCTGCTGATTGATGTTGTACAGCTCCTTCAGTTTTGAGCTTGCCACTTCTGGATCATTGAAGTTTCATGGTGATACCCAAGTAGGGTTGAAGCAACATAGATACTCATTTTCATCATGGATGTCGCAGTATCGACGTTCAATGGGGCCGTGGTAGTTCCATTTGTCATCGTATGTGTTTTCCATCGCCAAAGCTACACTGTCGGCAAGAGTAACTTCCGCATTGCCATCAGAGCAGGGAGCCACATCGTGGGT